GGTATATTTTTTTGCAACTTTTTGCACTTACTGTCAGCCTTTAATGATAAAAAATTTTAGGTTTTTCCCTTCTTTTAATTGGCATCAGTTATCTTTTTGAAAAATCAAACTTCTTCAGTTAAGCAAACAGTTAGCTTCGTTTTAGCTTGATTGCGTAATGATGACCCCCACACAGGCATTCAACTTTTGGGTATTGCCTCCAGCTTTCAGAGTGGTTTACACTTGTGGTGTCCTGATAATATACGACTGCATTCTATCCCACATCAAGCATAACGAGAAATGATTTTTCCTGTACCTTTTTTGAGCAGCTGTTGTTCATCATGATTTTACTAGTCAGTACTACTAGTCGGTGTTTAAACTTATTAATTGAAGAACACCTATTGTAGGCTTCTAATAAACTTCTTGGCGTGGAAGTTATGATTGCTGGATACAGTGTTTAAGAGTGGATTCAATGTAATTTTTTGACATATACACTTAATTTAAAGAATGTCTCGTGAGAGCTTGATTAACTTTAGCCATTTCCTACAGACTGTCGATCTCTCTTGCTCTATCTGGTGATGTTTAGATATATTAGAAGTGCTGTGATGACTGTCCTTACTTTCGTGAGGAATTAATTTTTTTTGCTTCGTGTAGGTCTTTCGATCGTAGTTCTATTGCTTTTTGGAGTAAAAAAAGCTATTGTTTCGGCTTTTTATTTTATTGCTCATTTTAGGTGGCTCTTAATTATTTGTTAAGCATCTGTCATCATTGATTGGTTAAGAGATCTTTTCATTTTTGCAAAATGTGCTTGCCGAAGCTTTCAACTTTTTGTTTATTATACCGGCAGTATGTTGTTATGTTTTATTTTTGTTAATGGGTATAAATTCAGTTTTGCCAAGCGTTTTTTTCAGTAGGGAGCTGTTTTTTTTTTGACTGTCGTCAAATGCAATGGGAAACTAGCAAACCACGAAAAAAATCTGACTGTCAGAAGCTTTTTGCTGAAATCGTTGTTGTCTGCAGAAGTTGTTTAAGATTAAGTTTCATTTTTAGCATAAACTAATCTAAGCTTACAGAATACTGCTAGGATTCTGTTTGAGTCCACAGTTTTTGGGCCGTT